AGCTCTGGGGCTGCCCTGCTCCCTCGAGGGGTGGTGGCATGGGTCTTGCCCTGCCGGCAAGCGTTATTCCCAGCGTTATCCCTGTTCCTTAGGGAGCAACCAGCCCTTGCTGCTCTGGCACGCCTAACCCCAAGCAGGTAATCACACCAGAAATTCTTGCCTCAAGAGGCATAACATTTGGGATGAAAGAAAAATAGGTTGCTTACCTACTTAAGCCATCTCATCCATATGCACTTGTGCTGTAGGTGTTACCTACGCGTTGTTAGGGCTCTTCTCTACTCTCAGAGCATTCACAGGTGCCCCAAACCCCTCCTGCTCCAGAGCCTTGGATGGCCATGAAAGGTCAAGCCTGTCCTTGCAAAATGGCAAATGCCAAGTGATGGGGCTCAGCAGAAAGTGTGCAGGAAGAAGGTTTGTGAACACAGCACATAGATGGTGTGTCAAAAAGGAACAGGCAAAGAACTCATCATTCTTTACCCAGTGCTTACTTTATGTTCATTTACATTGTGGGTGACTGCAAATGGCCCCCAGGTGCTTCAGCAAGAGGAAACTGTGAATATAGATCCAGATGGCATTCTTATAAGTCTCCGTCATTTATAGAGCAAAGCACCAGTGATGTTGCTTGAGTGCTCCTTGAGCAGGGCCTACTTAAATCAAAGGCTCTGCCTCTGTTATTTCCTAGCAAGTTCATACATGAACAGCTCTCCAGGGAGAAATTGTGTGTGTTGCAGTATGAATTCCCTTGGAAAAGTTCAGGTCTTTCTATGTGACCTTGCCCTGCAAACAAAAAAACCCTCCTCCAAGGATGCTTCAACATCTGAAGTGTATAAAAACAGCTTCTGGCACAAAGGTAGGAAGTTGGGGGGGGGGGGGGGGGGAAGAACCACACCCATCCACCCACCAGGAGATTAGTTACCTGATTCAAGAGAAAAATCTGACATGAGCTTACATCACAATGTTGGGGAAGTCCTAAAAAACCCTTTGCCCTTAAAAACGCTCCCACTCAGATATAATTGCCACTTTAGGCACAAAGGCAGCTTGTAGAAAAATGAAGGCGGGAAATAGGTTTCCTAATGTTTCAAAGGGCTTTCCCATTAGAAAAGTTAATACTAAATTTAGGAACAGGGTCAGCAATACAGCAGAAAAAGTCTACTTAAACCTTTCAAAAACCTTGTAGTAATGTGAATTAAAAAACAAAGTCTTTTTGCAAAGGATGTAAAACCGAAGTAGCTGACAACTGCATTATTTTTTGAGCTGATGGAAGGAGGGCCTTTTTTTCCTAAAGGATAATCCAAAATTAGAAGCAGAGAAGCAAACAATTTTAATATAGTCTCCTGACAGAAGAAAACTGAAGGAAACACATAGGCTAGCTTTCCAATCCATAGCATCAGGAAGAGGGTTCCTGGAAGAGACTAGCTTCCTGACCTTCAAGAAAAAAAGATTAACCTTAACTTGTTCCCAAACCCACCAAATGCTAGCCAGAACATCGCTGATGGTCCAGAAAGGACTGATCATCTGCCATCCCTACAGAGCTCTTGGAAGCTGCTGTACTTTTGGAATGAATTTCCATCTACCCCAAACCCACTGTTTTGAGCCAACTGGAGACCAAAGTTATACACTGGTTAATACCAGGAAAATCAGTCTGAGGAATAGAGGGGAAGGAACAGAACAGGTAGCACCTCAAAGTGCGCAAGCACTGAGTAGGCCTAACCAGTAGAAGCAGTACTTTGCTAAGTACCCTGCGGGGGACATATTACTCTGATCAAGCTGAGTCTAAGGCTAGCTGGAAGGAAGGGTTAAACACCAAGTCTTCCATTAACGTTTCGCATGCAGACAGAGCAGGAGCAGTTTAGGACACAACTATGATGCTAAATTCAAACAAACAATAAAAAGGCTCAAACAGTGAGTACAGGTCAGTCATGACTCTCCTCTATATTTCAAGACAATGGCTCAGCGATCTGAGAGATCCACACATTCTGAATTTTAGCACTTCTACTGAGGGCCGCCTAATCGGAGGAGAGACACAACCTTTTCCGGAACACGGGTCCAAGTACCTAATTTGTACAGAGGGTTCCCTCTTTAAAATGTAAATTGGAAACAAAAGCTTTCTCTCTCATTTCCTTTCTCTTTGTCTTTACACGTGTTAAAAGTTAGCCTTAGTATAAAATCTGCAAAAATGATATAGCAGTTTGTAATAACATGTTTCATTTAAACATTGCCTAAAAAGTACTACCAAAGGGAAAGTGAACATCTGCAAGGCAGCACAGGAAAAGATAGAAAGCAAAAGGGTATTCTCTTGCAATATGACGTTTTCTCAGCCTTTCAGTAGTAACCAGCTCTTTCATGATGCCCTATTGTAACCCCTCTTAAGAGAGGAATTCTGATCCCTCATTCCTTTCTGCAGGTACCAAACATGTATTTCACGAGTTTCATGCTGGACTGAAAAATGAAATTTTGACTCCATGTTAACGCAGATTAATTAAGCAAGGTCAAGGAAGTTAGACAACACCTCCCTGAAAATTGATGTTTGGTCCTCCCATTCCATTAAGTACAAGCAACCGACAATCTTCGTGAATCAAGGTGATATGAGTATTCACTTATTTTCTATGATCAAAATCAAAGTTCCTCTTCTCTCACTCCTCTTGTGTTTTTTTTTCCTCTTGCATTTAATAGA